TATATATATATATATATATATATATATATATATATATATATATAGGTACGTATATATAGAATTATATTAAATAAGTCTTTCTATAAAGTCAATTGATGAATAAAAATATTCAGACCATCCAAAATGTTGCCTCACAGCTCTTTCACATCAAAAAGAAACTGGTAGCCATCGCTAACATTCGGGTCAAATCTTTGAGTAAATGATTGCTACAAGTGCACATGAGTTGGGTGATATTCTACGAGATGTTGTCTTGATGATATTCTATCGCATTCTCCTGGCTTGATTAATTTATCTTGTAATGTTTTAATAAAACTGTCTCTAAGGCGTCTGGCAGAGGCCACAAATCCACAAATTACTATCTTGAGCCGCATTCCAAGAATTGGCTTGTTTTAGACAATTCTGGGCAATCTGGGATACAACCCATCTTGACCACCCTTCATTAAGACAGTGTTTTAAGGCTGTGTGAGCGAAACTAGTACTCGTTTAGGATAAAGCCCCAACTACGGTTTATGTGTGACTGATTTTGCGCTGTTAGGCTTGCAGCTCAAATATCAAATAGCCTAACAAGTGGTATCAGTAACGCAGCATCAAAGTGCCTCCGGCTGGCCTGGCTCAGAATATGGTCTTTCTTTTGAAGGTACACTGTTTAGAGGACAAGCTCGTGTACTCCGGTGAAAAGTGAACAGTAAAAGTTGCTTTTAGGCTAGGCTTGTCGCAATTACATTTAAAATAAGTGAAATAAGTTTGTCATAGCGACGCATCGAGAGGCAACTCACAGCCAACTGATTCCGCTGCAATGTCGAGAGTAGAAAAGAAGGAGCTGAAGTAGAGTGGCTGCGAAGAAGAATAGCCGCCACCCTCGCCGTTGCTGAGACATGCTGTCAGGCAGTGGTTGGAGAGACGATGCGGCCGGACACGATTAACGCGTCACCCACGACCTGTCGCCAACTTTGTCTATGACGCGGAAGACGAGAGAGAAGAGCTGGAGGGACTTAGTTGCTCGAAGGACCCAGAGACCGAGGAAGAAGTGTTGGACAACCAAAAGGGGGGCCTATGGACTCCAAGTGGAAATGGGACTAAAATGGGCCCGGCCAAGACATGTTTAGTGAGTCTTTTGACCAGATAATGTCGTCAGCCTATTAAGCAGAAAAAAGCTTGCTTTAGGAAGCACAAAGAATGCACTGTTTAGTTCATGTTCTGTGGCTGCCAGAACCTAAAGCCAAATAGACAACGTGGAAGTCGCAAAATATGGATCAAGCTATAATCCGAATTAAGTCGCTGTGCCCGAGATAGAATCCGTTCATATGAAAAGTGACTGTCAGACGGTGATTATAGGCTAGCGCCAGTCTTGGAGCACATTTCGGCTCATCAGCCCTTGGCAAACATGCAGTTGGAGCAGAAGAGACGAGGGAAATAGACGAGGGGATTAGGCCGAGGTGAGAAGTGACAAGTGGAGACAGATTACTGGAGGTACCGGGATCCGGTCTCGTAACCAAAGGGGAAAGAGCCTGTGCAACAAATGGTGGAACTCTCTGACAGTCGGAAGGTGAGGTTCTATTGGTGCGCAAGAACACTTTGTATGCACTGGCATGTCTGTTTGTACATTGGCCTGCGCTAAAGGCAGGTTTGCTGGCCCACAATTGGATCTGCGAGTGCCTTTTGGTCAAGAGAATTGATAGAAAGTTGGAAAATTACCAACCCAAAGAAACGTTGACCCCCTGTTAGTAAGGGACCAACTGTGAGCCAGATAATTGGTTGGAAGGAGAGTGAGGAAGAGAGAGATACTGGCAGAAGGAAGGGCAGACCATACGGGAAAACAAATATATATATATACATATATAAAGTTTTCTTCATACACGACTATGCATGTGTATGCATGTACGAGCGTGCATATATGATAATGTAGGTTGAGAGGACGACAGATGAAATGATGGAGAGAATAGAGGTACCAAAGGTTAAATGGACACAAGTAAAAATAAAAAGTTAAATGCTAAAAGCAATGCCAAATTGTATGTATCCTCCCAGGAAAGGTAGAGGCAAAATGCAAGGGAATTTAGCATGTTTGAGTGGTTAATAAATGGCAACATGGAGGATGAAGTGAATGGGTGAGTGCCTGATTGGGCCAGTGAATAAGCAATTTGTGGTTGACTGGTTGAAGACATTTTGCCAAGGCATGGGTAGTCGGGGCGTTAAGGAGAAGGAGGTGAAGAATGAGAGGTTAGTGACTAAGAGGATGCGCGAAGAAGTGACTAATTGAGCATGCCAGTGGGCCAATCTGACAAAGCTGGAGCACGGCAAGAAGTGAACAAGTCAGTAAATGGAAAAATCTTTTGGCAGGAGACTGGTCTGGGAAGGGAATGAATGAGCTATAGGCTAAAAATAAGTGATTGATTAATTGAAATATGACGAGTCAATGAAAGAGTCGATGACTGTGCGAGAGTATTAAAGAGTGCGAGTGGAAACATGACGAGTGAAGAGAGATTGATAGAATGAGAGAGTGGCTGATAGTCTAACGACTGGTGTGAATGAATGAATGGACTATTGCGTAATTAAAATAAATGAAGCTGTGGGGGAAATGTTAAGAATAAAATATTGTTAGGGGGAACTTCATTTCGAATGAAAGTACATGATGAAGAGATTCGTTTGTCGTTATCAC